GTTGTATCAAGTATCTAGTAGAATAAGTATCTAAGTTGCATTTAAGTGGCTCATACTTCAGGTTTTTGAACAAATCTAATGCCTCTATGAAAGTGAAGTAAAATCTACACATTCCAGTGTTTGCATATGAACAGATTTCAGAGATTTTGAAATTAAGATTTCATTTTACTTTTTTACGATTTTATTTATTTATTTTTAGTGGGGGGAAAGGAGGGTAAAGAGAGGGAGTGAGACATCACTGTGAAAGAGAAACGCTGATAGGTTGCTTCTTGTACACACCTTGACGGGGATGGAACCCGCAACTCAGGAATGTGCCCTGACTGGGAACCAGCAACATTTCACTTTGTGGGATGATGTCCAACCAACTGACCCACACCGGTCATGGCTCAAATTAATATTTTAATCTATTCTTTCAAAGTATCTTTTTAAAATTTATTTAACTGTTCAAGTACAGTTTTCTGTCTTTCAAGGTATCTTGACTGAGAAAACTAAATGAATTTTACTATGGTCCTTAAAAATACTGTATTTCTAACTTTGAGTAAATACTATCATTGCCTAAGAATACTGCAGGAATAATACTATTTTAACCTTGAAGAAGAAACTACTTGGCCAAATATATATTAAATCAAAGCTTTTTGGGAACCTTACTTTTACCAACCAAATGAAAAATGAATGAAAAAGCAACTTCCCTGATTCTTTAATTATTAAAAAATAATCCTAGAAGTCAGAAATTCACAGATAGAAAATTTACATACTAGAATTAATAGGTTTTGAATGGACAAATAGAAATAAAAATAAAATAATAGAAGCTAAAATGCAAGATAATTAGGAAAATCTTGACCTATCAAAATAACAATGCAAAAATATGTTTCAAAATAGGCAGTATAATTACTATATGGTTTTAATTCTGCTTCTGGTGACACTACAGGCTTAGTATCTGGGAAAACTTTTTGCTGAAAATAAGTAATAATCTAGATACAACAAATATTTGTAAGTATTCTTTAAAGAAACAATAAGATTATAAGAATAAAAGAAATTAACAATTGAAAAAAATCTAATTGAAGACTAGACACCAAAGAAGTAAACACAATTCTCAAGCCATCTTTCACCCTGAGATCATTGCCTAACCAGGTAAATTTAGGCTTCAATTTTTATAAACTCTTGAGATATTAAAAGCTCTCACTGCAAAAATATATAAACAGTTAACCAAAAACCACCCTCTGCACCCTCCAACTCTAGAGGCTTAAAAAGAAATCTGCATATCTTAAAGTTAGTGCCTAACAGAGGGGAAAGATCACTGAAAATTTGGAAGCAAAAGCCAAGCCTTGCCCGTGTTCATAGGAGAAATGTACACTGCTTCAGTTTGTAAAAGTTTAAGTTAACGATGATAATTAGATATTCTGGAATAGAATCTCCCCTAGTTGCCAGAAGCAAATGAAAATCATCCCAAAAGAAAATCATTTCAAAGAATATAGTCAGCTCACAAACAGAAACTAAAAGCAGAAGGAAAATAGGCACTATGGTCAAGAAACAGCAGGGGAAACAAAACAGAATTTGAAAGGATTTCAGATGAGGAGGACATTTTCAGACCCAGTCTATGAAATAATTATGTCTAATGTGTTTAAAGAAATGTTTTAAAGCCAGAACATATGTGTTAGATGGATGAAGCATATTTAAACAAACCAAATATAATTTCTAGAGACAAAAGTTCAAAACACAGTGAACAGATTTAACAACACATAAATGAGAAGATTATTTGTGAACTCAAAAATAGATACAAAGTTATCCATCATAAGTAGCATAAAAAGACAAAGAGATACAAAATTAAAAAGAAGGCTAAGAGACATAAATTAAAGTAGAAAAGCATTACAAACATCTATTTGAAAATGAAAAATATGGAGACACAGGTAGATGAGGTAATTTTTAAAATAATAGTAGTTCAAAATTATCCAGAACCATAACAACACTCAAATTAACAGATTCGAAAAGCCCAACAAAACTGTACCTAGGCACATTATACTAAACGTGCTGAAGACTGAAGCAAGGAGGTGATATTAAAAAGTATCCAGACAGAAAAAAATCAATAGCCTTCGAAGGAGCAGGAGGTTAGACTGGCAGCTGGCTTCTTGTCAGCAACTATGGAAGACTTAAAATTAGACTGATGCGTTTAGTATGTTGAGAGAAAATTATAGAATTATGTATCTAGCAAATGCATCTCTCAGGAACAGAAAAAATAGGACATTTTCACAAAAACAGAATCCAAAAGCCTGCCTAGCTGTTCTTCACTAAAAAAAATTCATAGCATACATTTCAAGAGCAAGACAAATGACTGCAGAAGGATGGACTGAGCTCCAAGAAAAAAATGAAGAAAATGGGACTGGATTAGCAAAGCTAAATAAATATTAACTACTCAAAATTATATAAAGGATGTGTCATAGAATAAATAAGATAATTAAAATATGCAACAAAAAATAGCTACAAGAAAGATGACTAAGGCTAAGTGTCTAAAGCCTTTTATGCTATGAGAACAAAAACGATACTAAATTTAGATTTTGATTACTGAAACATGCATATTGTTAATATGAAAATAACAGTAGAAATGGAGTATATGGTTTTTAAATTGGTAGATTAAAAAACAAAGGAAAAAGTAATCTAACAAAAACAAACAGAAAAGAAATACATAAAGGAGGTAACTAACAGAAAGCTCAAAATAATATAGTACAGTGTATATAATTGTATCAGGAATTATATTAAATGTAAAAGGACTAAGCGCTTTATTTAGAAGGCACATATTTTTATAAACGAAAGCTAAGTGTTGTTTTAGAAGGTCACTCCAGAGAGTCCACTTCCAGGAATATGGAGGAGACACGTTTTCCTACCCCTTCCGCTACGCACAACTACAAAGTTTGGACGTTATATACAAAGTAAACATAAGATGACCCAGAAGGTGGAGAGAAACAGACAGAAGGGCAGAGAAGCTGGAGGCCAAAAAAGGACACATGGGTGAGCCCCAGGTTTTCTTTTTACTTTATGAATCTCAGATTGTTGCTGAAGAAACCACTGACCTAAATACACCAACAGGGGCAAACAAAAAAGCCCCAACAAAAACATGCTCCCTCTACCCAAAAGACCAAAAACAAAAGTTTAGCAAATAGAAAACTTTTAGGCAATGATTGATTGTGGGCAAACACTACAGAAAATAACTGGGGCCTGACTATGACAGCAACAAAAGCCAAAAGGAGAGCCAGACTCCGGGTCTACCCAGGTTGTACGGGGGTGCTTTAGTCCCCCCACCCTGCAGAGGTGGTGTCGGAGACCAAACCCTGGGCTGGGGCTTTGTCTCTGCTGAGCGGCCAGGAGCCCCCACCCTGCAATGTCAATAGAGACCGAGTGGAAGGCTGGAGTTTTCACCCCCGCTTTCCAGTAACAAGGTTCCTGGGTGGTATCTGAGAGTCAAGATTTTCACCACTGCTAATGGACTTAAGACCTGACAAGCTGACAAGGGAGCAGTAGTGAGGCCCCCTCGTCCCATGCAGCCAGGGAGGTATTGGTGCACATCTAAAGGGGAGCCACAGCTTCCCCCTACCCAACATGAATTAGCAAGGCGGTCCCACCCTCTGCCACAAAGGTGTCTGAAAAGACCTGTTAAAACAGAAGGTTTAAATAATGTACAGAATCTCATAGAATAGTATTTGTACTCATTTCAATGAAAAATCATTCACCGTGCCAAAAATCAGGAAGATTTTAAACTGAATAAAAGATTCATCTGAAACAGTGATTTTCAACTTTTTTCATCTCATAGCACACCTAAGCTAATTACTAAAATTCTGTGGCACAGCAAAAAACATCTATTTTTGCCAATTTGACAAAAAATGGGGATAATTTTGATTCATTCACATCAGATGACCATCATTGTGTTGGCTGTTGTCGTTTTTTTTATTTGACAATCTAAGGGAAAAGAGGTCAGTGCCCCTGACTAAATATTCAAGTGTTGCATGTTTTAAAAGTTCCTGTAGCACAGCAGTTAGAAATTGCTGATCTAAAACACAGGAATACAGAAAGTTTGGATGTCAAAAGACAAGGAGAAAAAAAGATACATCAAGCAAGAACTAACCAAAAGACAGTTGCTTGGCTATATAAACTACAAGCACAAAATAACTTTTAAGACAAAAAGCTTTACTGAGAAAATGCATCATTTTATCTAAAAGTCTCGCATAATTCGGAAGTCAAAATTGTGACCTGCCTAATAATACAACCTCAACCTTACAAACAAACATACAAACATAGCCAGAACTGCCAGGAGAAATGGAAAAGAAGTGTGGGGGGGTGTCTCTCTATCACAACATCCTAGCCTACTCTAACTGAAATTTCTACGCAATGGATTTAACTCACCAAAGAGCACACTTCTATTTTGGAGAACTTGAGCAATCAAATATTGAAGAAGCTTTTTCCCAAAAAAGAAATATGGTGTATTACCACGTCAGTCACATGTACATCCTTTACCCCTCTGGGCATCCAAGGAGACGTTCTGAGACTTCGAATTGACTGCGGTACTTCTCCCGTGGAAATGGAGGTGGGGGGTAGGGAAGGGAGAGAAACAGCATGGGAACGAACTATGCCAGATACTCAACTGCACATTTCACTGCTTCAGAGTGTAGGGCTTCAGTGAAACTCAACAAATGCACTTTGACATTTCCACAAATATGAATATCTGTTAAGATCATGGCATTTCCTACAGAAAGCAGGACAGTAATGATTTCAGAATGCTCCCATTAGAATATGCCATGAGTCAGTGACTCAGAAACAAACATATCTTCAACACCAGAAGTTAATCTAAAGTGCAATCCCTTATTACTGTTCTTGGCATTGTGCTTTCCTACGGTTGCTTAGACTCTCCTGTGAGTACTTGTAAAAATATCCCCGGGGGAATCATAGCTTATCTTCCCCTGGGAAGGGTCCAATGGCAATGTTAAGAGGAACAAAGAAGAGCTTCTCCTTACCAACCACCAGTCACCAAGGAAAGTACAGGAGTGAGCCAAAGGTCTCATCATCAGTTCTTAAACAGTCTCAAAAGCAAAAGCTAAAAGGAACAGTCCTTCAACTAGCCAGTACTGTATGAACAGAGGCAGTATCTCCTGGGAGGGCATCAAAAAATTCCACAGACTTCCCTCTCTGTTCCTGCTGCTGTCCTTGTGAATGTAGCTTTCGTCTGCCACTAGGAGTGGACAGAACTGAATGCTACCGCTCTCAAATGTACCACCAACAGGGGGCACTCAAGGAAAAGCCTGGAACTTAAATAAGATTACTGAAGCTACATTTCTTTCTCAAGGGCAGTCTTCCACAGCTAACCTTTTCCTGATCACCAAGACAAGGAAACTTATCAAACGCCAGATTAGTGAAGAAAAAAGGATTCTGAAAGCCAGCAAAGTTGAAACCAAGCCTGGCAGACAACATTTCTCTCTCCCAGCATCATTACCTGGAAACCACAGGAGAAACAGCTGTTTTGTGAAAGGATTTTATCTTAAGTCTGAAAGTATTGATCACTGAGACTGTACATAGTTCTCTTTACTGGAAGACCTTTTATTCCAGTGTGTAATCTAAAAGACCAAAAACCTTGCTGCTGGAAGCTTTTCCATTGAACCACATGCAAAACACCTCTACATTCTGGTTTTCATCTCCTCAGCAGAGCTAATTATCCCATCAGCCTGTGCAGGAGTGGGAGGTTATTGTTCATGAACCCATGAAGGGGCATAACATAACGGTGCAAATGAGAGAAGCTTGAAGCCTGTTTCACCAGCTAAAGCTTATCCTGGAAAATACTCATTCTCAGAGGAAAGGGGGGAAATATACTGTAGCCTTTATATAGAAAGCCGAGAAGAATATTAGCACCGTATTTAGGCAAGAAATAGCTATTCAACTCAGTGCCTCCCTCCATCACTCCAATGCCACATTTTAAGGATGTTTTGTTGTTATGAAACAGGATAAGAGTTTTCTACCTGTCTGACCTAGAGAGGTATGCTAGTCCTCAGTTCTATAGCTTCTGCCTAGGATGTGCTGACTGAAGGCTGTGAAAAGTGCTGAAAGATGTTGGCTGTCCAGCATGTAGCCCAACTCACATTTCCTGCTCCTGCATGCTCTCAAACAGTATTCCTTAGCATTTACTTTAGGCAGCAGAGCGGGGAAAGCAGGGGAGCCAACTAGAAGCGAAAGGCCAGGAGGAGAGTGGAAGAAAATTAATTTGAGTTTCAGGGTAACCCTTGGGTATTCCAAGAATTCTCCCTGTTTTTCAAAAACAGGAAGCGATTTATTTGATTTTAGGCCACCTGCTTCCAGGGGTAGGCCTTACCTATTCTACTTCATGCGTTCTGGAGAATATTCAATGAAAGTCTCAAGATGTGAGTACATGAAGGAAGAGTATTCATCTTTTTAAGACTAAGTGTACTTAGCAGAGTTTTGTTTATCTGGGCCAATTAAGAAACAGCCAGAAACCAGGAGCCCACTTGTAATACCTCAGCTGTTGCAGGAGAAAGGAGAAAATCATATAAGACGCAGGAGAGTTACAGCAATAATGGCTTCTTAAAATGCTTTCCAGGCCCACCTGAGATAAGTGCCTCTCTGAGGTCTTTCCTGCATTCCCAGATAATTTTTCCACTGCAATGTTATCATAGTTCTTAAAGCCCAATAATACCAGTATGTATTTAGAGCCCCATTCCCTTCCATAGGCAGTACACTTATAAGAGCAGGACCTTGACTCATTTCTGACTATACACCCGGCATTTAGCACAGGTTCTGGCACTCAGTAAGTGTCTGAGGAATGAGTTAGGGATATTTCCTCATGGATCCTCAACTTAAAGGAAATAAAGCATCTATTCTTGCTCACATGTCACTTGATAGGACTGATGAACAGTGATACATATGCTAATTATATGTGTAAACATAGCTTATAACCTTGGGGGGGTCTTAGTGATAACCAGCAGTTCTATCATTTTTCCTGCTCCCTGGCCATCTCTGTTTAAAGCTTTAATGCCTCTAAAATAAGTTCCAAAATCTGAGCACAACAGATGCTGTCAGAGTACTCTACTCAATATAGGCCATCAGGTACAAAAGCTTTTCTTCTTTAACTCCTTACCTTCTTATTTAGACTAATCCTTTTTACTTGTTCTTCTTAGAGGAATGTCATATATCCCTTCCCAATGTGAATCACCCTTTCAACACTCTCCAGGATTTTTTCCCATCGATTAGCCACCTCATTCTCTTTTTTAAACTGTATTTTATTGATTATGTTATTACAGTTATCTCAATTTTCCCCCTTTGCTCCCCTCCACCAGGTACCCCTCTTTCCCTCAGTAATCCCCCACCCCACTTAATTCATGTCCATGGGTCGTACATGTAAGTTCTTTGGGTTCCCCATTTAATATACTATTCTTAATATCACCCTGTCTTTTCTGTACCTACCATTTATGCTTCAATCCCTGCACCTTCTCCCCTGTTCTCCCCTTTGCCCCTCATAGCTGGACACCCTCCACGTAATCTCCACACCTATGATTCTGTTCCTGTTCTGATTGTTTGCTTAGTTTGGGTTTATTTGTTTGTTTGTTCATTTTTGTTTTGGATTCAGTTGTTGATAGTTGTGAATTTGTTGTCCTTTTAATGTTAATAGTTCTGATCTTCTTTTTCTTAAATAAGTCCCTTAACATTTCATGTAATAATGGTTTGGTGAGGCTGAACTCCTTTAGCTTTGCCTTGTCTAGGAAGCACTTTATCTGCCCTTCTATTCTAAGTGATAGCTTTGCTGGATACAATAATCTAGGTTGTAGGTCTTTGATGTTCACCACTTTAAATACTTCTTGCCAGTCCCTACTAGCCTGCCAAGTTTCTTTTGAGAAATCAGCTGACAGTCTTATGGGAACTCCTTTTTTCATACTGCTTTTAAGATTCTTTCTTTATCTTTAAACTTCAATATTTTAATTATAATGTGTCTTGGTGTGATCCTCTTTGGGTCTAAATTGTTTGGGATTCTTTGTGCTTCTTGGACTTATATGTCTATTTCCTTTGCTGAATTAGGGAAGTTCTCTTTCATTATTTTTTCAAATAAGTTTTTGATTTCTTGCTCTTCTTCTCCTTCTGGCATCCCTGTTATTTGGATGTTGGCATATTTGGAGAAATTGCAGAGTCTTTTTATTCTATCATTTTTTTGTTTAATTCTCTTTTCTTCTTTCTGTTCTGGTTGACTGTTTATTTCTTCCTTATATTCCAAATTGCTGATTTGAATCCCAATTCATCCTGTCCACTATTGGTTCCCTATAGATTTTTCTTTATTTCACTTAGTGTAACCTTCATTTCTCCCTTTATGTTGTTGCTGTACTCAGTAAGGTCTTTGAGCATCCTGATCACCAGTGTTTTAAACTCTGCATCTGTTATTTCTATTTTGTTTAGTTCTTTCTCTGGGGTTTTGTTCTGTTCTTTCATTTGGGTCATATTTCTTTGTCTCCTCAATTTGGCAGTCTCCCTGTGTTTGTTTCTATGTATTAGGTAGAGCTGCTTTGACTCCTTGTAAAAGGCACCTGTAAATTGTATGGGGTGGAGCCTTAGATAATCACCAGGGTGGGGCAACTTGCTTCAAGGCTTTGTGTCTCTGTGTGGAAGGAGTACTTAGAGAGGAGACTGTGGCACTGCCTCACTTCTGGGGGTTTTCCCAGCACTAGCCTAATTTCCAGTCACTTCACCCACATCCTGTAAATGACTAGAGCCCTTCCAGCTGTTGCCCTGGGGTTGAATCCCATACTGGTTGTGTTTTCATATGTGCAGACCCTTTAAGCAGAGTTTCCTGAAAATCCATCAGTTTCTTCCACCTTTCCAACCCCTACTGGTTTCTATAGCCAGAAGTTATGAGGATTTATCTCTTGGCCCTAGAACCCTGGCATGTGTTGTCTGGCCTGGGGCTGGGATCGCTCACTCCCCAGGTATCCCTCTGGATTTTTATACACCACACATGAATGCCGAACCTCCTGCACCCATTCCACCGCTGCCTCTTCCTCTCCTGCCACACCGCAACTCCTCACCTCTCCACATCTCTGTCCCTTCCACCCATCCAGATGAATGTGGCTTCTTTAAATTCTTGGTTGTTAGACTTCCATACAATTTGATTTTCTGACAGTTCTGGGTGTTATTTATTTTGAGATTTAGTTGTAATTCTTTTTAGGGTTGCCTAAGGAGGTGAAGCATATCTACCTATACCTCCATCTTGACTAGAAGTCCAGCTCACCATCTTATTCTTATACCTCCATTTTCTGTCTCCACTGACAGCTATCAAGATAACAGATTTTTCTATATATATCATCAGTTTCAAGCTCTATAGACAAGCTTTTTAACCTGTTTTCTCAGCTGCAAAATGGGACCAACAATCATGTATCACAAGAGTTTGGATAAATAAAATGGTGTACATAAAGCACTCAGTCCAGTCCTTGGTACATATGCTCACCTAATAAATACATATCCCTTTTCTTTCTTTCTTCCCCATCCAGAGTAAAACAACTTCTGAGGACTCTCAGTGGTTTTGATTACATTCTTTCTTTCCCCCATTCTTCCTTACCCTGAATTCTGGCCAGTAGCTCCTCTCCTCTCATCTGCATACCAGCCCACTATAATCTGGCATCTCCTCCATCCCTCCACTGAAACATCTTTCATAAATGAAACCAAGACTCCTAAATGCTTTGAGTTTCACAGATTTAAATACTTTCTGAAAAAGCCAAAGAATGAATCACATAATAAAAGAGGATAAATGCATAAATAGATGGCATTCTCCCTAGTTAATCTTATCTACTTTCATGTCTTTAACTTTTACCCATATCTCATGATTTCCAAAAATATCTCCTGAACTCTCTTCTAAAATCAACCATTTATATTTCCAAGAGCTTTCTAATACCCTCTACTTGGATATACTTTGAGATTACAACAAAGTCTTAGGCAAAAATTCACCCAACTGTCCAAGTTGGAAAATCCAGCACAGCCATAGGAAGCCTCCTTTCTTCTCACATCTCAGAACGAATCCGTCATTATGCCTAGTCAATTCTCTCTTCAAGATATCTCTCAATATTAATCAAACTGGAAAGCAGAAAGTTTTCTAAATGTTAACAATATATTCTAAGACTTAACTCAGAATGCTAGTTTAGGTTACCTAGGAGATTCTG